GGAGCTGGAGAGTGCTGGAAATTGGGAAGTGCTGGAGCTTGGGAAGCCCTGAAACTTGGCAAGTGGTGGAGCTTGGGGGTTTCTGGAGCCTCGGGAGTGCTGGAGCTCAGACTGGGCTGTTTCTCCTGCGAGGCAGCCCTGATGGGAGCAGCCCTACAGAAGCAAGAGGGGCTCTGTGTCCTGGGGCACCTGCAGCCCTGGGACAGCACACAGCCTGACACAGCTCCTGCCTCGGGGTCCAGCCCCAGAAAGAGCTTGGCAGGGGCTCCAGGAAGGGGCTGGGTGTGGGGATGGGGTCTTTATAAGGTCCAAGATGGGTAAAAACAGGGTTTTTTTTTGGAGATGAAGCGCCTGGGACAAGGTGAGGGGGAGAGGTGAGGGGTTTGGGTGTGTTTCTTGGTGCACGGTGACACTTGGCTGGTTTCACCCCTCGGCTTCTCTGCCCTTAGATGACTACAAGGAGTTTGGTGTCAACTGCGAGAAGATGGCATCGGAGATCGAAGACCATATCCTTCGGGGGGAGAGGGGGGTCCCCAGGCTCCATCTGCTGGGGACACAGGCTCCAGAGCCGGGGTGGGGACAGGCTGGAGGGTGACAGGCTCTGCTGTCCCCGCTGCCTGCAGAGGGAGCCCGGACCCTGGTTAGAGGCTGATGCTGATGGTGATGATGATGCTGGTGCTGATGATGATGCCGAGAAGAGCATCTCCTCGGCACCTGCCTTAGTCCTGGGGGGTCTCTCTCCCCCCTCCCCAACCCCTCTGCTCAGGGACCTGCCTTTTCCCCTGGGGATCTAAAACCCCAACCCAGCCAAAATCTCCGTTTGGAGCCTGCTGTGGGTGCCCCTGTGTCTTACCAGCCCCAGCCCATCCTGGTGCCCGCGATGTGGGACCCACCTCTGTTCGCCCCCAACTCCAGGCTTGGGGGTCTCCTGGCAGCCTCCCAAGCCTGGCACCAGCCCCAGAGTGTTTCCTCCTCCTGGGTATGGTTGGATTTTGGTGCACCCCAAACTCTGGCCATGTGTGCCTGGGGCCTGGTGGGACCCCCAGGCTGCTGCCTCAGGTGGTCTGCCCGTCTCTGTGCAGGCAGCTGGTGGCTTTTTGGGCAGCCTGGGTGGAGGAGAGCAGGCTGGCTCCTCTGCACCACGAACCCACGACCCAGCACAAGGCTTGGGGACAGTCCTCGTGCTCCGACAGCTTTTGGGTGTCCCAGCATGGGGATGTGAAGTTATTTTCCACCCTACAGCCAAGCTGTGCTGCATTCTACTGAACCCAGGGAGGTTCCTGCCCCATGCATGGCCCCCCAGGGAGAAAAGCCCCATTGACTGGCCACCTCCACGCACACGTGGGCACCAGCCCTTGTGGCCATCAGCACCTCTGAGCCCAGAGCACCAGCGGGTTGCCCACAGGGCTGGCATCCCCCCCAACCCACCCTTACCCCTGGATTCCTTGACAGGCCTCACATATCTTCCAGGAGCTGAAGAGCACGGACATGAAGTATCGCAACCGGGTGAGGAGCAGGATCAGCAACCTGAAGGACCCCAAGAACCCCAGCCTGAGGAGGAACGTGCTGAGTGGGGCCATCCAGCCCAGCCTCATCGCCCGCATGACCGCCGAGGTGGGCACCAGGGTGGGGGGCACGGGGTTGGCTCCCCTGGACCGTGCCCGTGGTGCTTGTGGGGGTGGTGAGACCCTCTCCAGCCTCTGCTCGTGGAGGCTGCGTGGTGCCCAAGGACTGGCTGGGTCTTGGGTGGGTGGTGTCCACGCTGGGCTTGTGCCAGCATCTCCCCTGGTGCTGATGGGGGCAGAGGGAGAAGGCAGGGGGGCACTGCCTGGTCCCCTCAGTCCATCACAGGGCAGGGGGTGGGATGTCACCCTGGCAGGAGTGAAGCTTGAAGGTCCTCATTGCACCTCCTCAGCTGGGGTCCCCAAATCAGGCTGTAGGGAGCCAGGTCCCTGCAGGCAGAAGTTGCAGTGAGGATGGGGTGGGATTTTTTTCCATCTGCATGGTTGTCCTGGTTCCGTGTAAAAAGGGGTTCAGGGCAGGACCCACAGGGAACAGAAC